TGGCCCCAATTTAGTGACAAATAAAAGCCATAATAACATAATCGTTAGGATGTGAGTGCGGCCTCAGAGTTGGGAGCAATCGATACGTTCAATCCGGCGACGGCTTTTATAGACATGTTTGCGGCCATCGGGTGGGCCTATGATCTGAAAAAGCCATCAAACGATGTCGTGAAGAGACGACAGACCAGATGTGGTGACATTCACTACTCATTCAGATCACGGCTTTCGGAACAAATCGTTGGTTTATTTGTAGTATTTATGCCTTTTTGGGTCATTTGTATACTTCGGATGAATGTTATTCTATGGCCTGTAATAGCTATCGGATTATATCTGATTACATGCCATCCGCACGGCTTTACCGCTAAAAATGATATTTAATTATTGATTAGTTTTAAAAATATTTTAAATGTAGTTATAGTATAAAATTACAATTAATCAATTTTTAAAAATAATTTTAGTTTTTGGGGTAGTTAGGAAATAATATTAATGCTTGTGTTTTTACGTTATGTTAGTAAATAACCAATGTTAATTATGTTGGCCAATTAAGCTGTTTTTAAACCTTGTTTGCTCAAAATTAATTTAAATAACTAAATATTTTAATTATAATTATAATGAAAGTAATAATTTTATAAAATAGGTTTCAACAAGGTTTGCGCACAATATGATGCTTAAAAATAGAAATTATTCATAAATATTTGATTAGAAATTGCTTTCAGAATTTATTTAATTTTAAAAGTATTATTAAATAAATATAATTTTTTAATAATTTTCATTGATATTTTAGCCTTATTCTTGTCATTTGGAAATTTTTCAACTTTATTTTTGTTGTTTGTTTTGATAATAATATTCTTTGTTATAACTTATAATTGCTGTGTTATAATTAGTATTGCTTATAGAAAAAGCATTGACATAGACTTAACATTAGCGATAGGATTAGTCAACATTGCCATAAGATTAGCATTATTCATAAACTTACTTGTTAGTATAGACGTTGCATCACTCATGTTAAATTTAACATTAATGGAAGGAACCTATGTTAAAGTATAGCGATAGGTTTATGGTGCCCCATGTTAAATTACGGTAGGGTGGGGGAGTGGGAATCTCAATTCTATAAACCACATTCTTTATGCAGTAAAAGAATTGTAGTTATAAATAATAAGATTAATTGATAAATAAATAATTAATAGTTTAATTGGCCAACATAATTAAAATTGATTACTTATTAACATAACGTAAAATCAGAAGCATTACTATTATTTCCTAACCACACAAAAAACCAAAACTATTTCTAAAAATTGATTAATTGTAATTTTGGACCATAATTATATTTAAAGTTATTTATTTAACAGTTAACTTTATTATTTGCTATAATTTAGATTTTATAAAATTATTACTTTCATTAAGATTAAAATATTTAATTATTTAAATTAATTTTGAACACACATGGTTTTGATTTCGTAATTCTATTTATTAATACAAAACAATCTGTTTTTATTAATGATTACTTTCACGTAATCAATGCTGTATTTTATAAAATAGATTTTATAAATAATAAATTTTTGATTGTTGTCTAAGTTTGTCTGGCTATTTGGGTAAAATGTTTGGGTTAATGTATGTAGCAATTATAGTTATCTAAAAATGGAGTTTAATTTAAAATTATTTGTCTAACTTTTATTTATAGAAATAATGGACACAACATATTGAATGGTATGTTAAACAAAAACTCTTAAATTATCAAAACTTAATTATTTAAATATTAACATATGCACATGGTCATTAATACAATAATATATAGGCATAGCGCACCCAAATGTGACCAAATACTTTCTGTTCAGCGCCGGGCCCATAGAGTTTACGATGATTATGCTGTTATGGCTGCTGTTTGTAACAAAACTGGGCCCAAAATTTATGAAACATAAGAAACCGATGGAATTGCGAACATTAATGATATTTTATAACTTTATGTTAGTTGTAATTAACGTATACTTTACGTACATATCAATCAAATGGCTTGAGTTCGGTCGCAAATCGCTTGACCCAAAGCTGACAGAACTGAACCGCTGGGTAGAGAACCATGATGACTTTTTGCACCACAAAATTATCTACTTTTATACTAAACTATTTGATTTATTGGATACCGTAATATTTGTGTTAAGAAAAAAGTCAAATCAAGTCTCTTTCCTTCATGTTTACCATCATTTTATGGGTATTTCATAACAATTCTGTTTATAACTACTGATATTTTATTATTAGTATTAAAATCATAATTAATAGTAGGGAATTGTATACATATTATCTATCTTATATATGGTCTAAAATATACACATTAATAACTACATGAATAATTAACATTTTATTAATAATTAATTAATAAATATAAAAAATATTTCAGTGCCAGTTATGGGGTATTTAACGATCGTTTACTGTCCGCAAACAGTTGTCGTCGAAGTGTTTTGTTTTTTGAATTCAATCATTCATACAGTTATGTATAGCTATTACCTGTTGTCGGCATTTGGACCCAAAATACAGCCCTATTTATGGTGGAAGAGATATATCACACGATTACAGATAATCCAATTCATTGGATTTGTATTCTATGTTTTATATAGTGTTATATTTAAAGATCTATCTGATTATCCCAAAATGATCATGTATATCGTCCCTATTCAACCATTCTTCTTCTTCTACATGTTTTTCATGTTTTATATCAAATCATACGATAATAAATCAAAATCTATTTAAATTACATTTAATAATAAACATTAATCAATCATTGTCAATGATTCATTGAATACTAAAAACAAGTCTAATTATTTTTTTTGTATCGTTATGTTAATAACATTTAGTATAATTGTAGACTAATTATAAATGAATCACCTTAGCATCTGCACAAAGACGCAATTGGTAAATTCACCAGGATAATTAAGCATTAAATTATATAATCATTTGACGCAAATCAAAAATAGGTGGTTAATTCGTGTTAATTATTAAATTATAAATTTATTTTACAATATACAGTAGTGTACTGTAATGGTTGCTTACCATGTACCAAATAACAGGTTAGCAACAATCGGTGATTAAGTAAAATTCTAATGATTATTGTAATAAAACAAATATTATTTGTAGAAATAACAACCTGGTAACAAAATGTTAGATAACATACAACTACTAGTTCTGTGGACACTAAACTATTGTCTCGTTGTATACACTGTATTAGTCGAGCACAAGGCCTACTGTCCAGAAATGTTGCGTTCATTGCTGTGCTCGCCGTTGGCCCGGCTGAGGGCCCTAATAGCCCATGGTCGTATTGTGCTCAACTCGGCCACCGGTGATGGCAATGCCAAAGAGAGACTGATCCAGCACTTGAAGACCTATCGCTATGTGCGCTATTTTAACAGACAGGTCAAAAACGTTGACTCTATGTTTTAGTGCCAGTAATCGGCAATTGAATTGTATTTTCTCACTATTTATGTATTTTGTAATAATTTGCTCTGATTTTAAAATATAATTTTGCAGAGCATTAGAAATTTAATGATTAATTAAATTCTAGATTTATAGCATTCTAAAAATAATTTATTTTATTGTATTTACTTATTCATATTATAACATAACTTAATATAAAGATAGTATTGAATAATTTAAATAAACATGTTTATAAATTAACTTAATGTGCACAACTACTTTATATAATTTTTAAAACAAAAGTTACACTTTTGATTTTAGCCCATAATATTTGATTGAATAAATCAATAAAATAAAAATAAAAACATAATTTTTAATTGTGTAATTTTTTTAATTAATAAACAAATGTCTAAATTGTATATAAATTTAACGATAACGTTTTAAACAAATCAAGCATGATAATAATAAGACCAATATATAAACAAAATTGACCAGGTAGCCGACAAACACTTTTGGATAAACAATGGTCAGTCCGCGCAACATCATTGATCGTAATGATTCAATAGGCAATGTAAGGGGCAAATATCGGCAAACAGCCTGACCAAGATCACTCAGCGACTCTAACGGCCATAACAGGCCCGACACCATCCATAAGGGCAAAGTGGTCAGTGCCATCACCATCTAATTTGCATTCAATAGAAATAAAAGCTTAACTCAATTAATTGTTTACTAAACAATTTCTATTAAGAGACTGACGATAACGTTGTAATCGTTGGATACGGCGAGCGATAAGATCATACCGAAGACCATCCCATGCATGCCCTGAACGATGAGCATTAAGAGCACATCCAATGCGCTGCCCATCAAAGTAATGTCNCTGAACCAATATGATTTCAAAAGGTTTCACACCGTTTACGAAACACCGCTCCAGACAACCGCCCCGTCGCTCGTAAATGAATACAAACCCCGTTAATACCATGTTTAGGCCGTACTGTATGGCCAACAGCATTCCCGGGGCCACAAAATCCTGCAGATAAAAATAAATATGACCAGTGCTTTTAATGAATGTTAAATTGAAATAATTTATTTTTACTTTAAACGATGGCTTAAACGAATAGTAGGAGGCGTTCAAATCAAACGGCATCGAAAACGATAGCGGATTGTAGTCGAGGGACACACTGTACTCCTTAATGAAAGCGTTTAATGTACTCAAAAGTGCCAAATCGGTGACTCCGGCCACAATGGGTCGGGACATGTCGACAGTGATCTTCACTTGGCTATCGAGGATCGCCTGTTCGGACACGTCTTGCGGCGATTGAAAGCGCTCCTCAACTCCGGCCGAAAAATTGGCCGAAAAATCCAATGACATTAGATTCTGGCCGTCGATCACGGATTGGACGGCTCTCTCGTAACTGTCGTAAAGTGTGACATGAATTTTGCGGTCGTCGATGTGCTTCAGGAACAGTTCGCTCAACTCCGGGGGTCTCTCGCCGTTATATATGGCGATCGGAATGTTTTCAAAATTCTGGCCAAAAACACAAAAACACATTGTGTTTTACACATATATTAAATACTTGTTGTATACCTGAGTGAAGACAAGTGACATCAATGTGACTATAAGTGCTGATAACGCATAAAAGCAGATAACCATCAGTGGATTTCGGGTCAGTTTGATATAATTTCTCCACAAGAGGGCTGACATACGACCCATGTTTATAAAGCCGTGATTACGGCCCCTGTAGTCGAACTTCTGGTTTTCGGTCTCGACCTCCTGGGCGTCCTTCGCGTCATTGAAGAGCAATGGGTTGAGTGACATACGTCTGGAGCGACGCCTTATGATCGCCAACTTATAGTAGACCTCTTCCAATGTTTTCACCCGATATTGGTTGAGAAGCTGTTGGGGCGTCGACTGTGACAATAGGTAACCATTGCTAACAAAGCCCACATACGCCGCACTCTTGGCCTCTTCGATGTAATGCGTGGTCACTATTATTGTCACTCCTGTGTCCAAAAGGGATGCAATTAATGACCACTCGTTGTCATATTAAATGTTAGTCTAATTAATGTTAAAATGAGCGAAATTTTACCGTCATTTTTGGATATATTCTCCAGATATGTCCAAATGCGGCACCGGATCAACGAATCGACGCCAACTGTGGGCTCGTCCAGAATCAGAAGTCTCGGGCTGTGAATCATTGTGACCGCCATTGAGATGAGCCGCTGCTGACCGCCACTCAATTTAGTGAGCACTCGCTTCCGGTCCGGAATGCTTAGCAAATCGGTCAACAAATTGATCCGAATGTTGATGTCTTCGGGCGTCATGTGATTCAAAAGTCCGTAATACGTGAGCGTCTCCTCGATTGTGAACTCGTAATACAGGGCCACGTCTTGAGGCATATACCCGACCCCCGGGCCGGGAACGTCAGAGCCCACAGTTCCCGGCTTACGGCCGAATACACTCACATAACCCGAGTGTGGTTTAAGGCGACCGAGAATTAGCCGCAATAATGTGGTCTTTCCCGAGCCGTTGGATCCCAAGAGTCCGAAGATTTTACCTTAAATAAAATATTTTTATTATGTTGTGAGTGGGGGTGAGGGGGGAGTGAATGGATATGCATACCCTCCTCGATCTTAAGGTTCATTCTCTCCAAAACGACCGCATTCTTTGTATAACTGAAGTTAACGTTCCGGACGTGGACTGCGATCCGGGGCTTAGTCTCGGGTTCGCGCAAATCAACATCGATGTAATTGTCGCACATTTTAGCTCTTAATATAATTGCATAAAATATTTATAATTGTATTTTTAATCAATATTTTTGTTGTTATTTGTTGGTTATAATAAAACTATTACTATTAGTTAAAACATGCCGTAAATTGTATGTGAAAAAGATTTTTTGAGAAATAATATTAAAAATAGACTTTTTTTTTAAGGAAATCCTTATTTAAAGAGTAAAAATGGTGTATATTTTGATGAATTGTTAATTGATTAATTAAATATTTATTACAAACAAATATAAAATAGTATAAATAAATAAATAAGTGTCATTTTAAATTACTCTTTTAAATTAAACATCTAAAAGTAAAATTATATCAAGTTTGCCAATAACCTTGTTGTTAAACAGTATTATAATAATGCACATCTTTTGTTAACAATTAATTTTTTACTAAATTTTGTTTAAAAAAATAGACGGATTTTTTCCCATAAACCTAATGTTAATAAAATTGACAATTTCTTGTAGATGGCTGAACTAATCTTAATCAAATTTTGTCAAACAAATAGCAAACCCCCCTATTGGCCCCCGTTTCAAATAGGCTAAAATCATGACCTATCTAAATGTCCCAAAAATTTTAATGTTCTAGTCACATGATTTTAATATTTTTTCTGGTAAAAAAAACTAGACATAAGAACATAATGATTTACAACTTACTGATTTAATCCAGCTCATTTCGTTTTGGAGATATTCGGATACTTATTGATATGCTGGATAATATTTTAATATAATCGACAAAGTAGTTTTTATTTCTATGTAAAATTCTGAATACTTTTATTAAATTATTTTAACATAGATTTTAAAATAAAAGTAAAACAATAACATTTATTAGTCAACAATATTTGTAGAATATATGAAGTTAGAAACTATTATTTTTTAAACAACCAAGTATACATTTTAAGTATTTTAAGTACAGATTTAAAATTTTAACATTATTTTAAAGCTCTTTTAGATAAATCAATGGCCATATCATCTGAAAAATCTTCATTATTGTCATCGGAATCGCATTCATCGGACGTGTAGTTGTTTACCATACTTTCCTCTTTACCACAAAAGTCTGTAAATTATTTAATTAAAACAAATCAAAACACATTTCAAGTGAAGAGCGAGTCATTAAAACTAACAATTATTGTCGGGAGAGTAGGGCTGTTGAGGCGGTGGTGGGAAAGGCATGGGTTGGACGAAAGCCTGGCTGTGAAAGAGTTGTTTGACGAGACACTTGAGCCGATAGTTTTCGTCGGCGACGGCCGTCAGTTCCGACTCGAGTCGGAGCACGTGTTCGGCCGCTCTCAACAAAACCGTGGCTTTACTTAACTTATCGATGTCTTTGTGTCTCAATATCCGCCGCAACGCCTGAATGCCATCGTTGATAGACTGCATGCGTTTGCGCTCGTGATTGTTGGCCACATCCCGTCGGGCGCGCGACTCGTTGTCCAACTCCTTCTTTGGTCGGCCCACACATCGCACCAACATTTCAGATGAGACTCCGGTTGGCATACGTTTCTTCACATGCATTGAATCCATCATTAAGTTTGTGTGGTTTAACTGTAAGGATGTGTTGTTTTTTAAATAAAAATAGTTTTATATAAACATAAAATCAATTATTTATAAATATTATTACCTGAGTTATAGTAAATTATAATTAGCTTAATACTTATATGTCCACTTTTGGGTTTATAAAACAAATATGTATTTATTGTGATATCTCATTAAGATAATCAAAACATATTATTGTGTAGTTTTGTATGTTTTAAGGACTAAATGCTCGCATTTGCGTAAAAATGATAATTTAAATCATTGTTTTTATCCCTAAATTAATTTATTTATTCATAAAATATAAAACATTTTCCTGAAAATACGTTTAACTGATTAGAAATTAATTAATATTTTGGTTTTTTCTTTACACTTGAAAGTCACAAAACAATTGATACTAATATATCATTTAATTTTGACAAATATTCAATGAATTACATTTCCTTATCATTGTCATGAATTAAAAAGCTTAATTTTCCTCATTAATTATGGTAAAAATTAGTAAATATTTTGATTAATATAATTATTATTAACAATAATTGTGTTTAACTGCAATTAATAATTACTCAGATATTAATTGTTTTAAAATTATGTAAAATAAAATGGTTTCAAAATGGAAATGTTTATTCATTAAACCTAATTAATGCAAAATATTTGTAATTAATTTAAGTATATTGTAATTAATTAATTAATAAAAGAATTTTAGTTAATGAACAAGTATTTGATTAAACAATAAATAGTGTTTAATTATTAATTAATAAATTAATAATATATTTTATAAATTATTAAAAATATAAAGCAGAGTATTAGAAACATAATTTATTCATCAATGTTTTATCATTAATTTTGGCCATCATTTTGCCACAAATATTATTATGGCATATTGCACACCACAATCTCCAATACTATGTCAAATCTAGTTCAAATATCATTAAATATAGTTTGTAATAATAATAGTATCTAAGGCCCTAAGTTTTAAAAATGAAAGTAATAATACATATGTTACATACATATGTAGTTTATAATTTTGAAATATTATTTTAAAACTGCATTTGACATAGTGTTACCGGTAAAGTAATGTCATTTTTTACTGTATATACTGTTTTACTGTATGTAAGATGTAAAGAATGAAGTGTAACATTATATAAATGTATTCTAAATTATTTTAATTTATTTTATATTTGGTTTTATAAATTTGAAAACCAAAAATTTTCTAATAAATCTCTAATAATAATTGATTTATTGATAAATTAACAAATATCTTACTTGATGATGCAACAAATTAAATATTAAATTTAGTATAATTATTATAGTAATACAATTGACGCATGTGATGTGATTTAGCTTCTGCGGTTGGTTTAAAAAATATTTTACAAATTGTTTCCTATGCAAAAAACACTGGTATAAATAATTTAAATAATACCTTAATATAAATATTAGAAATATTTAATGGGTTATTAATAATAACTCAATATATTCTACAAAAGCACACTAGTATTGCAAAATGGTAACTATAATTAATTTGTATACAATTATGTTACTTAATGAATATTATTGTTGCATTTTTACTTCAATAGAATTTCTATAACTTGATGAATATATCATTGTATGGTGTTTGCGAAACAGAGCTACATGTAATGAGCACTAAAATAATTAATGAAAATACGGCCATGGTTAAAAATGAAATGACCACAAACAGTGCTAAACTGTATTATATGCTTCACCAGTATTGGATCGACAAATCGGACGATAGGATTAGCGGGTATCCGGTGCTGAGCGGCGGACCCGAACCGTTGGTCACACTACTAGTCTTATGGCTATTATTTGTGACAAAATTGGGACCAAATTTTATGAAACACCGCAAACCTATGGTTTTGCGCGAGATATTAATGATCTATAACTTCGTGTTAGTCGTTATAAACGCGTTTTTTGTATACCATTCCCTCAAATGGTTAGACTACGGGCGTAAGTCATGGGACCCAATACTACCCGACCCTAACCATCCGACGGCTGACCACTCACTGGAAATTAAACTCAAAGTAATTTATTTTTACACAAAACTCATCGACTTATTGGACACAATATTTTTTGTGTTGAGAAAAAAGTCAAATCAAATTACTTTTCTTCATCTTTACCATCATTTTTCAGGTCATTATTATATTATTAATTAAATATTTGCTTAATGGTGTATACAATAACAGTGTTATTTAAATTAATCATTTAAATCTTGTTCATTTATTATATTAGTTCCGCTATTGTGTGGAATGGCTTTGAGACTATGCTTTCAAACAGCAATTATAGAAGTGTTTTGTTTGCTTAACTCTATTGTACACACAGTTATGTATAGCTATTACCTGTTGTCGGCATTTGGACCCCAAATACAGCCCTATTTATGGTGGAAGAGATATATCACACGATT